CTCAAATTGTTGTCCTCGGTCAGTCGTGACAGTCGAGGGACAACCGTACAATGCTATCCATCGTTCTACGAAGCGGTGAGCAATTGTCTCCGCCGTGATAGACGTGATGGGAATAGCTTCGGGCCATCTTGTAAAACGGTCAATGCACGTGAGTATGTGATCATACCCATGCGATGGTGGCAATGGTCCTACAATGTCTATATGAACGTGATCAAAGCAAGCATCAGGCGTAGCGAACGTGCCAATGGGGGCAGCTACGTGCCTGTGCACTTTTGATCGTTGACACTGTAAGCATTGCTTTACCCACATACGAACATCTTTATTCATGGACGGCCAGACGTATCGTGCAGCGATGAGACGTAATGTGGCTGCGATACCTGGATGAGACAATCCATGAAGGGCATCGAAGACGAGACGGCGATAGGTAGAGGGTACGATGGGTCGAGGAAGACCGGTAGACGTATCACATAGGATAGTACCTGAGCTAGTAGCTAGGGGTACTTCCTGACACTGAAGGGACGAAGATTGTGGTGCCTCTGTACAGACAGGATCGTTTGCTTGCGCGGCGGCCATAGCAGGAAGATCGAGCACCGGTAAAGTAACTGCATTCGTCTGGATACGTGAAAGAGCATCGGCAACATAGTTCGACTCGCCTTTAATGTGACGAAGGTCTGTCGTGAACTGTGAGATATAGTCCAAATGTCTGCACTCTCGTGGTGAGTAGCGGTCAGACTTGGTATGCAGGGCATACGTTAAGGGCTTATGGTCGGTGAATAAGATGAATTGGCGTCCTTCTACTGCGTGCCGGAAATGTTTGATGGCGCAGTAGGCTGCAAGCAGTTCGCGACCAAAAGCGCTATATCTCGTCTCCGTGGGAGAAAGGCGTCGTGAGAAAAATTCGAGCGGTTGCCAACTACCGGAGATATTCTGTTGCATGACGGCTCCTATGGCAAAATCCGATGCATCAACCGCTATACTAAGCGTGGCTGATGGGTCAGGATGAGCGAGAAGTGTAACTTCAGCGAGAGCCGTTTTGATCTCTGAGAATGCAGTACGTGCGGTATCGTTCAATTCTAATTTGCGTGGATTACCGCGTAGTAAATCGGTTAATGGTCGTAACCGTTCTGCCGCGTGAGGGATCAAACGTCGGTAGAAGTTAACCAAACCGAGAAAAGCCTTCAGTTCCTTGATTGAGGACGGCACGTTGTACTCCTTGATTGCTCGAACTTTGTCCTCGCAAGGTAGAATACCCTCTTGTTTGATGATGTGACCCAGAAATATTATTTCTGATTTACCCAATTCACATTTTTCTGGGTTGACTACTATTCCATTATCCGAAAGACGTTGGAATAATAGCGTAAGGTGTTGATAATGTTCATCTACGTTTGATGATGCGATCAGCAGGTCATCAATATAGACGTGAACAAAATCCAAGTCTCGTACTATGCTATCGATAAACCTTTGGAAAGTTTGAGCAGCATTCCGTAATCCAAATGGCATTCGTAGGAACTCAAACAGACCGAACGGAGTCGTGATAGCAGTTTTTTCGATGTCTTCAAGAGCGACTGGGATCTGGTGATATGCTCGTACCAGATCGATTTTAGAAAAGATAGTCGTGCCCTTGAGCGATGCCGTGATGTCGTGTATGTGGGGGATGGGGTAGCTATCAAAGCGCGTAACTACGTTTAATGCTCGGTAGTCGCCGCATGGTCTCCAACTAACCCCATCCTTTTTGCGCACCATGTGTAAAGGAGAGGCCCAAGGACTGTGAGAAGGACGAATAATACCAGCAGATAGTAAATTGTCAAACTCACGTTTAGCGAAAGCTAATTTGTCCGGTGCCAGTCGGCGTGGTCTTGCCGTGACTGGTGGTCCGCGGGTGACTATGTGGTGTACCACACGATTGGTCACCGATGAAATCTCCTCGAATGGTTTAGTTAATCTGGGGAATTTCTCGAATAAGGCGTGGAATTTATCGTCACGCGAATAAAAAGTTCCGAGGATTCGGTACGCGTTTGTGTGAGCTTTAAAGCCCATGAATTTGCTGTTCGACGAAGTATCGATTAGCTGCAGCCTACGTGAATCGACTAGCAATTCATAGTGCTGTAGGAAATCAATACCTAGTATGGCTGTGGGAACATCAGCAATGATGAACGTCCACAGATACCGTCGTCGGTTGCCCAGGTTGACCGCGAGTTGTCGTGTACCGTAGGTAGGAATGGCTTAGCCATTTGCAGCGCGTAGTCGAAGCATTGTAGCTTGTGACTTGATGCTACCTCGTGGTACGACAGAAACTTGGGCACCTGTATCCACTAGGTACCTAGCGTTTGTGCGATAATCGTGCACGTAAAATAAACGGCCAACCTGGGGGGCAGGGCCGGCGAGTACGGCCGCTTTTACTCGCCGGCTTTGGAGTTTCCCGCCTTGTATGAGCACGGGGCTCGACAACGGCGGGCACCAGATCCGAAGGATCGATGAAACCAGCACCAACCTGCACTCGCTTCCGAAGCCGCCTTTTGGCGTGGCTTGGAAGATGCCCTCGTTGGGCGAGTGTTGACGGCTTTTCGAGAGCGTGAGCGGACTCGAGGGACGTAGGGTTGGGGTACGTTACAACGGTCTCGAAAACTAAGACGTGTATGAATACACCCTTCCCTGTCACCTAGAGCCGAGGAGTGGCTGCCGTCGATATCGACTTTCGGACGCGACGTTGAGGCAACTACGTAGTTGTCTCGATTGCCAGTCCTAGCTAGAATTTTGTCTGCTGTGAGGGCTACCTGTTTCAGTGGTGCGTCCTCGAGCAGGGCCGTAACTGTAGGTTGAATAAATGCTGGTAGACATTCGAGCCACAGTTCTTTAACAATTTCAGAATCGGCTGCCGTGGGTCCTGCAAGAGATTGCAGGCGCGTGAGGTGGTGGCTCGGTTTAGCATCACCCAGCGGGTGACGTGCTAATAACGTCCTCAATCGTTTCTCCCTCGATGGAAGGAAATGTCTGAGGACCGCCTCCTTGAGACGATCGTAAACATTGGGCACATTGGAATTGAGGACAACCTCACGGACAGCTACTAAATGGTCTCCCGGTAAACATTCGAGAGCGTAAGTGTACTTCTGCCGTTGGCTTGTAATATGACGGGTCTCAAATTGAGACTCTATAGCAGCAAACCAAACTTCGGGATCGTGAGGAATAAAAGATACAGGTCGAAAGTGTATAACCTGTACGTCAGAGTCTATTACGTTAATATTATTCTTATCGTTATCCGTCATGTCAAATATATATATTAAAAATTAATATGGAAATATATGACAGACGTGGATAGATAAGCGATAGACTCACCAAAATTGACTTCTTTGGAAGGTTTGGTTGCGATTGCCAAGTGGTCGTAGATGTAGGTTCACCAGTTGCAGAAGATTTGACTGAAGTTGAGGCGTGTTCCAAAATTTGGGTCACCAAATGTAGCGTGGTGTCGAGTTGAGCTGAACTATGAACACCGCTACCAGACTACTTGCCAATAGACCAATAAAATTCCGATAGGCCAAAATATCAGAAGGCAGATGATTGTAGTAGTCGTATATATTTGTTGGCGATCTCGTGGTATCGAAAGAATACCGAGATCGTGCCAAAGGAGTACAGTTGCGATCGGCAAGATAAGATACGTGCGTAGTCCAAAAACCGCGTAAAAGCAATGGAATACAATGGAAGCCCAAAATGGCTGTTATTAGCACAGTTAAACAAACGAGCACAGTAAAACAGTCACTGGTACAATTGGTTATAATAATAATTGTTTTCATCGAACCAATCGCGTTCTGTTGACAAAAGTAGGTCACTACAGGAGCCCTTCCCTAGAAAGGGTTTACACTTTCGATAGTTAGCGGTTTGATTCGTGGGACTGCTCGGCAGAAGTGCGGTTGTAGGACGGAGGAAATTGGCGGAACAGGAAGTGATCATTGACAAAAGTAGGTCACTACAGATCCTTCATCTTCTCCGATGAACATGGATCTAACCACCTACACGAACAGGCTTAAAAACACAATGCGTTCAGTTGAACCTGTTTCCACTCGACCACAATCAATTGGTGTTTTCGTTCAACCTGACTTACGATATAGTACATACGTTTTTGTACGTCGAGACTCACATCAACGACCTCTCGAGCCAGCATACGAAAGACCTTTCAAAGTTCTTCAACGCGAACCCAAGTACTATATAATCGATAAGAACGGAACCAACGATAGCATCAGCATCGATAGCCTCAAGGCAGCGTATTTAGAAGGAAATCCTATTCACGTCGACTTTCTTTCAGTACAACCGCACAACACGACTCCTGAATTTATAATACCTCAACACAAAACCTACACATACGTTGATACTTCGATAGTTTCAGAAAATAAAATTAAAACAACGCGCTCTGGAAGAAGAATAGGATTTCCAGAAGGAAGATAAAAGGCGAGAGTAGGCAACATTTTCTGACAATGGTGTTCATTTAGAACGCTACTGTGACTTATTCGGACATAAGAATTTACAATTCAGTTCGTCCTAGGGATTTCGTATGACGTTTAAAATAGATTGGCAGTTTGCCTTGTCCATGGTTCTTGTGTAACGGTTACTTTTTGCGAGATGTTGTCGCTAACCCACTGAATAGTCTAATGTTGTGATCAATGAAGCAGATAAGAACGAGGTAAGTAGCGATATAATGAAAATCGCGAGTGGCCTCATTAGGTCTTTATTATAGTTAAGAGGAATGAGCGTCGTGCGACTGATTGGTATACACATGACGTCGAATATCAATACAGAAACGTGTACAATGTCACAAAGACAAGGAAAGATCACAATTTCGTTTGCTCGTGTAAAATGTCTGACTTTCTGTCACTATAGTGTTTCACATGAGTTTTAACTAGTTTCATACCAGGTAGTACGACAGTTACACGTTTTCAGTCTCGCTGACCTTGAAAATCTCATATATATTGGATATTTAGTGCGGATTCTTAATATTTCTTTTGGTGTGGATGAACTCCTCTGTCCTTGATAACGGCAACCATTCAAACAGTCGAATCCACGACATGTCCAGTAACATGAAAAAGTCTGACTCTGTTGTGGTTAGAATGGTCATTTTACTAATTTCTCCAGATAGAAGACAACTTTCGAGGATTTCCTACGGAGTATTTCTGCACATCTCCTCGGTATGATGGATGCTTAGATTATGTTTTAATACCAAATGGTATGATAAAAGATAGGTAGATCATGAATTTGAGATATGTATTTTAAAGGCTTGAAAAAATGTCGATGGATATTGTCGACTATTACGAGGCTTGTAATGCAACCTCGATCACACTTATGTGTGTCCTCAAAGGTGGATTTAAATTCCTTGCAGATCTTGTTGATGGGCTTGAACGCACTGTCCGTGCTCGAGGTATCGTCCTACCAATGTCCGTTGAGTTTGTTCGTGTTAAGAGTTATGTTGTACGTTAACAAATTAAACATAATTTTTCCGAAATTCACCAGAACGATGTCAGTGTTCATGAGCCTATATTAACGGGTTTAGGAGATCCTTCGGAATACAAAGATAAGGTATTTTCAAACCTAATGATACATTTTGTAAGAATGTCCTTGTCGTCGAAGATATAATTGACACAGGAAAAACAATAACGAAACTCATAAATCATTTGGATAATTTGTCTACGAAAAGTGTTAAAGTCGCGAGGTATGTTTTGAAATATTCATCTTTCCAGTCTTATGATATAAAAGTCGTCTCTATGTACGTACTGTTTACTAATCCTTTATTTCAACTTAAGATCGTGGTCCGAAGTCTCTGGTGTCCCCGATCCATTTGGGTAGCATATTGATTCACTTTTTTTTTGGATTAAGTTTAAAGTTAGCGGACTTGATTAGTTTACAATAATTTATATGTATTAGCTGGCAAATATTAGTACTAGCAATTATTACTTGGTAGTTAGTATGGTCAGCGTTTGTAGTATATTTATAAATTATGGGACCTCGTTATCCATTGCTCAGTTACTGTAATACTACGGATATTAAGATGTGTGATATGAAAATTTACT